GTGGGGTGCACCTGGTTCTGAGGCTGGGAGACTGAGCTGGGTGAGGCCAGGTGAAGCTGGAGGTTTGAGTTCAAGGATGGGTGTGCAGGGAGCGAGACTCTTGGGAGGGCTCTGCCAGTCTGGAGGTCCTGAGATCGGTACTGACTGGAGGGAGATGCCTCCCCAGTCGCTTGAGCCTCCACCTGCTGCGCTGGTGCTGGGGAGGGCCAGGTGCCCTGTCCATCCGCCCCCCCACCCCTCGAGTCCGTTATCCCAGCGGTTGCCATTGCGGTTGCTACTGAGCCCGGTTCCAAGCTCGAGCCCCGGGACGCTCTCCCAAGGGAAACTTTTCGCTCTGCTTGATACCCTTCTCGAAAACGCAAACAAAACCATCTTGAGCTCACCTATGCGACTCACATGTGTGCAACCCCTTCTCTGTAAAGGCTAAGGAACCCAGCTCTCCCGGGGACGGTGACCAGAGGATCCCAGCCACTCCCTAGACACTGTGTGGAGCCCAAGGAGCGCCACTGGGGAGGGAGCCTAAGGAGTGTGTTGAATCCAGCGAAACCCTAATGACTAAAGACTCATTATCTAAATCCTGTTTACTATCAGTTAGCTACTTTAGGTGCATTTATTATAGCATTTGCCCAACCCAGGAGGAGGAGGCTTTGGTTTGAAATTTAAAAGCAAATAGCGTGGAAACTCAGGAGCTGAAGACAAGGGAAAAGCAAACAAGCAAACAGACAGACATGGCTAAGGGAAGAAACCTCAGAGGAAGGCTAATTTATACTACAACTTTTTGATGCATAAAAGCCAGAAAAACCTCAACTTACTCATGGTTTGGCTTGCCTTGAATTTTTTATATAGCTTCTAGATAGCTCTCTTTCCGTAATTGCAGTTTTGATCAGTTTACAGTTTCACACTCACGTGGAACTGGTTTGGTTTCCCTGCCTCATTTAGACCTTACTCCCTAACTTCTTAGAATAAGATAGTCTCCGTTCTTTGTGTTATTCTAGTTGATCAGATTTGGTTTAATTGTACATGGGTGGTATGTTGATGGGTCTGTAGTTACTAAGCAGTGCTGTGTATGAGCTTTGCAGCTTGTTTTTGGTACCTAATTTGTGGTCTGAATTATGAAATTTGATGGAGCTTGAGCTCATCTTCGTTCAATCTCTCACTTCCCAAGGGAGAAGCCCAGAGCAGTTGAGCAGTTGGCTTTTGAGCAGAAGTACTAGCAGCTTAGTGCAAGAGTATCAAAGACAAAAAAGAGGGCTCCCATAATTGCACTGACCGTCTGTATAATCTGAGCAATTCTCCCTGTCTTAATGGGAGCTACCTAGAAACCTTAATTCCAACTGCAAAGCCGGTTTTTCTATGTGAGGTAACATTAACAGGGTCTGTCTATGGGTAATCATTATTCAGACTAGACCATCATTAAAACTCTTAAGTGGAAACAGACTTTCTAGAAACATTCTTGTTAAAGAAAAGAAATACCCTGACACATTTGTATGACCCACTGTCAATCTTCATTGCCAATAGTAAGCATTAATATTTATCTTTGAACATTTCAACTAAGAAATTCAAATATCTGCCTAAATGTCTTGAAATTTGTGTGAGTACCCTTTTGAAAGTTTTAGAGTGCCACACAAATATAAGGTAATATGAAATTTTGGTTTTCACGTTTTTGTGTTTTAGCTACTTTAAAATCTTTTCTGAAAAAAAGGCCAGGATGCCAAATAACTAAATATATACACTTAAAAATGTAATTTGGATACACATCAAAACATGGCCTTTAAAGAAGAAAACTCACAGTAATGGAAATATATGTCCATAATTAGAAAATATTTAACCTTATCCTTGTAGCTCTTTGGTGCTGTTTAACAAGGATTAAATAATTTAACATTCTAGCCTTAGCGCTTAGTGAAAGGACTAAAGAGTTTGAATTTAGAACTAACCTGGAGTCTTGCCTCTGTTTAGTAACTTTGGCCAACATTGCTTATCTCTCTTCCCCACTTTCTTTATGTGCAAAATAGAAAACCAATAATGTCACCATGAGGTCTTGTAAGATTGGAATTAAGGTGCTTGAAACAGTGGCCATTCAAGACCACACTTCCTTTTTTTTTTTTTTTCCTCATCTCCTCTCTACAGCCTGGCTGTGAGATGTTTCCTTGATCCCTGGCCTGGGGAGGTAAATTCAGTCCTTTGGGTCCTATTCCTCTCACTTTATTTATTTTAAAATTTATTTCACATTATTTATTTATTTTATTATTTACTGTGTGTGTGCAGGAGCGAAAAGCACAGGCATACATGGCATGGTGCGCATATAGAGATCAGAGAACAACTTTTGGGAGTCAGTCCTCTCTTCCTGCTGGAAGTCAAATTCAAGTTGTCAGGCTTGGCAGCAATCACCTTTACCCACTAAGCCATCTTGCCAGCCCCTAAACCTAACTTTAAATATCATTTTCTCAGTTTCTTCTCCTGACTCTACCCCCATCATTTAAGTTCAATTCCTCATTTATCAGAAATCACAAATTTCTTGTGTTATTCAACATGTTTTCTGATCTAGACTATTTACTCTTTTAGATCAGAAACTGTACATTTTGAAGCTACCATAAAATTGCAGTGTCCAACATGATGCTTGGCATACAACTGCCAACCATAAATATTTGTTGAGTGAGTAGATGAGTTTTGATCCTTGATGGCTGACCCCCCCCCTTGAATTTTCTAGGTGAAACATAAACTGTAAGTAATAGATTCCTAATGCACTGTGTCTTGCCAACTGCTTCTGTGGGCGCTGGCTACATTTCAAATCAAATCTTGTGTCTTCTTTGTAAATGCCACCATTAGCTGCCCGATCCACAGACGTCTCATTTGTGATCCTTCGTCTGTACCACCTGGCCACATACTTCCAAAAACACCCTCTAATATTGGCACCTGATGTTATTTGCATGATGTGAGTCCATCACTTTTATAATCTACTTTTTTCCTACCCCTAATCTTTTCTAAAGTAGATAACAGGAGTTGAGTAATGGCAGCAGGTCTTTAGCAAGACACTTGCATGGAATGTTTCTTCATACTTATGAGTTCAGTATAAAATATTAATAACTCCCCTGTGTTACATTACATCATAGAGCTAGAGGCTTATGGACTGTTATCCTCTTTCTCTACTGAAGCTTCTTTAGGTATTTATAATGCTCCTTAGATCTTAGAGGGCCAACGTTAGAATAACTACCTCTAATAAAACCAAGAAGACATTTATATAAAGGTTCATTCTATGAATTTTCCTGAAAGTATCCCCCTCAAGGATCTTATATATTCATTTTTTAAATTCTGATTTCCCCAAAATATTTAGAAATTCTGTGCTAAATTTACAGTGATGTTCTAGTACCAATTTCACCCTAATTGGATGCTTGATAGAGTCTGTTTCCCTCCCTTTAGCCTTTCCTTCTCTGTCCCACATTGTGTAAGCATGTATTGATTTCTGTTTATCACTGTTCCTGCATGCTTTCACTGTGAATACAGAATGGTGAGAAGTTGCAATGATTAGTATTCATTTTTAGTTTCACTCCTAGGAGGAGGGCCTCCAGGCACACCTGTGAGGGATGGTCTAGATTAAAGTTGGTTTCTGAGAATGACTTTGAAGGATAGTCTTAAATTTATTGATGTGGGAAAATCCATCTTATGTGTGGGCATGACCATTCCTTGAGCAGGGGCTCCTGGAGTATAAAATGAGAGGTTAGGCTGAGCACTAGCATGCACGCATTATTCCGTTCCTCTCTGTTCCTGACAGTGAGTGTAATGCAGCCATCTACTCAAGCTCCTGCTGCCTTGACTTTCCCACAGTGATGAACTGTCCATGGCTGTATAGTTCTCTCTCCTAATAAAACTCATGCTGAAAGGGGAATTTTTTATCAGCTACTTTCTACAAAAGTGAGCATATTATTTTGAAAATGGTGCTACTTAATGTTCAACTTTGATTTTAGCGTATAGCTATGCTTTTAAAAACTAGTGTAGATGGGGCTGGAGAGATGGCTCAGTGGTTAAGAGCACTGGCTGCTCTTGTAGAGGACCCAGGTTTGGTTCCAAGAACCTGCATGGCCACTAAAAAATGCCCATAACTCAAGTTCCAGGGGATCCAATGCCCTCTTCTGGCCTCTGTGGGCATTGCACTCATGGGTGCACCTACATATATGTAGGCCAAACTCATAAAATAAGAATAAATAATTAACAACAACAACAAAACAGTACAGAGATAGTTTGTTCTTTCTGTGATTGGCACATACTAATTGTGTTTTCATGTTCAGGATTTAGCTCAGATTGTCTCATTGCCAGATCTCAATGGTTTCTCACTTATGTAATTTCAGACTTAGATTCTTTCTATTGCTTTCTAGCACTGTTTTCCCTAAGCCTCCAGAAACATATATTTTCAACTATTATTTGTTAGCATTCCTTGGCACTTTCTGCTGTATTTATGGAAGTTTTTTTTAGTATTATTTCTAGGTCCTTTTAATTTAGGAAAAATTGACTACTGTTACTTCTACCCGCTGAGCCATCTCACTGGCCCCTATACAAAAAAAAAAATTATTTGTTTTTATGTGTATAGATATTTTGCCTACATGTATGTAAGTGCACCTATGTCATGCAATGCCTGCAAAGGTCAGAAGAGGGCATCACATCCCCTGGAACTGGAGTTATAGATGGTTGTTAGTCACCTTGTGAGTACTGAGAACTGAACCTGGGTCCTCTGCAAGACAAGCCAGTGCTCTTAACCACTGAGCCATCTCTTCAGCCCCAGATTTTCTTAAATCTTAGAGATTTAACATAATTTCTGACTTTTGGCTTTTCTAAGGAGTAGATATATATGTCAGCTTCATTGGACCATGACTTACCCAAACATTTGGTCAAACATTACTGAGGGTGTGTCTATTTGTTTGTTTTATAGAGAAAATCACAAGTAGCCCAGACTGGCTTTGTTTACTATATAAAAAGTAGCCCAGACTGGCTTTGAATTGACTATATAA